TAAACTTGTCAAAAAAAGTGGCCCGCTACACCGCTGCTGCTTAGACGCATGAATACTGGACGGACGAGCAAAGTGTTCACTCGATAGTCACTCCCAAGACCGACTCGATTCTTCTTGTCTTACTAAAAGGACGGCATGTCCCAGCAGGTAATGTAAATGAAGGTACTCAAGAACTTGGTGGTAAAATGTAAAGTGATTACATATAGGTCCTTAGTTCACAAAAATTACCTTTAAGTCTAATCTTTGGTAGAGGCTTCAGCAATGACGTCAATCTATGACGCCATTCCGTGACGTCTTACGATGACATCACAAACACGGATACCTTACCGGCATGTGGGTACATCTCGAGGCGTAGTCTTAACAACAGCAGGCACCTAGCAATACGAAATGGAATATTAACAACCAATATTAAAACTCAAGCTGCAGACTCGTTCGTTGAAAGCGAATGATTGTTTAAACAGCAAGTTGATCGTGGAGTTCAAACCAGACCTATTGAACGTAGAGACACTGAGTGCTAATAAGTGAGTTCGGACAAGTCGAGTGACACGCTGTATTTTGTGCGATTCGACGGTGTAGACGTGATGAATACTACAATAGCCTACAACATGGTAAACACAGTATGGCAATAGAAGACACAGCGAATAAGCCAATCGCACTAAAGGTGGAAGGTACTAGTTCAGCCACATCGTCACCCTTACTATCGACTCAATCTATTACTAATGATATGGTGCATTTACCACCGAATGCAGGCAAGACCGGCACTATTTGCGGATCATGTAGTACTACTGCCTTATTTTGGACACGTCCCTTACATATTGTCAATTCTTTCTTTGTTAAATCATACCACAAGCCTAAAGTTACTAATACAACGGATTTAATTGAGGTGTTCACATTACACTGTCATTACATTAAAACATATCTACACAGAAGACTGGAACGGATCCAATGCCGCTGGCTTTTCTTACGCTCATGGCTTCTTTGCTGCTCTGTGCAGTTTCAAGTCACTTGGATTCCAATGAAAACAATGTCAATTTTCCTTTATGGAGTAGCTCTCGTGTTCTTCATAATGTAAACTCTACTATCTCTTTTGAAGTTCTCCAGGTATCAATCAAACCAATTCAGACTCTGTACTATATGACCCTTACCTTCCGGTCTCGCTAACTGTAACATTGGTTGTTTTGCCATTGACAGTACAATGTGTTTAACCGCCCAGCTGAAGTTTCTAAAGATGGACAGAGGGAACGACTGGAGCGAATTCCCGAGTCTCTTGGTCGGATTTCGAACACCATCGATGTTGTGACTTTCGCAGAAGCTGATATCCGAACAGAACGTAACGAAATGCTGGCTCAATTTAAAAAACTTGGCTTTGCCTATTCCACAACAATCCTACACGACCCCGATCCGTTCACCAGTTTATTGAACGGAGGAGTGGTGATTGTATCTAAATGGCCAATCATCCGAGAGGCACAACATGTGTATCGAAATGCTTGTCACTACTCGGACTGTTTGGCAGCTAAGGGTGTCAAATATGCCCGGCTGCTAAAAACAGTCAATGGCTCGCACAAGATTTTTAACGTGTTTGCTACACACATGCAGGTACATACTTTCTTCGCTTTGGTTGTAAAAAATGAGTTCTGAGTTGGTAATGTGATAAATTCTAGGCTTGGTCTACGCCAGAAGGACGAGCAGATCGAATCCAGCAAGCTAAACAGGTAAGTTTCGCACTGACAAGGATTTCGATACTTGCATTTTCTTAATAATGCTCGACAGATGCGGCAGTTTATCGATGCTATTGGCATTCCTTATCACGAGGTAAAGGATCATCGATTGCTAGATAAGCCATCACCGTTGTTTGTGCTGATCATTCGAGGCTGTCTGTTTGCTGCGTCTGTATCTAGCCATTGATCTTTGCGGGGGACTTTAATGTGGACAATCACACTTTTGGAGGTGAAGTGGCCTATTTGATGAAGCTGCTTCAAGCGCACGAGCCTCGTCAGATCGGCAAGCAGATTTTCACAAGCGAGTATGTCATGTGCTATTTGTGATGAATCAAATTAACTGTGGCTTACAACGATTCTATCTTAGCCCGCATACGAACGTACTGGTTGGACGAGACGGAGCTGCCATCAGCAACAAATGCTTCGCACAATACGTCCAAAGTTGGGGGCAACCAAAGGTTTGCTATGTTGTCGTAAAAATGCATCCAAATTATGCTAACTCATGATGTGTATGTTTCGATCTCCATCGTGTGTGAATAGAATAGTGTTTTCTACCCGTCGTTGCTCTCCCGAACGACTTGCGGGGTTCATAATGAGATTCACAGGGATGACAGACTAGAATTCGTTCAACTGGACAGCATGTGCTATTGCCCGTGCTGCCCACTGGAGTGGCTAGACTACGTTCTGTATGGCAAAGGTAGCAGAGTAGGTGCGACATTGCTGGCGTTCTTAGCACTGATCTATATGTGTTGTAGCGCCATACCAGCAGCCCAGTACCGTGCCAACGCTCAAAGCTCATGTGAACCAAGTTCCTTCTTTCACGATTGATTGGACCGCGCCGAAAAAGAACATGAGAATGGCACTGATCGACCTTTCTGATCATTACCCGGTACTTGGAAAGTTCGAGTTTCCAGTGACCCGCGGTAAAGGGAAGGACGACGATCCTTTGACCTATCATTTGGACGGCTGCTCAACCGATGATGATTGCCACTTTCACAGCTTTCGCTGCTATTGCAATGGCTCAAACTGTTACTACAAGGGGAGATACACCAATGGATGGAATCTCAACTCGGATCACCCAGTGAATCGCAACTGCTTATACCAGAAGACCTCATTTCGCTGTTTATGTGGACCGACGTGATCACGCTGTGTGCGTAGATCCGCGGCCTATGTGATCACGTAAGAACTTTAATTTTAGCTTAAGTTATAAGCTCTAAGTAGACTTCTGTTGTTCATCATGCTCTACAAGCGAAACAAGTATAAAGAAGATGAATGACTTCTTGATGCATCTTACTCCTTCGATGCTGTGTTTATCAAATTAGACTCAGCTCCAGCCTGAATATCGGGGACAAGGTAAATTAATAACGCTCAATATTGAGCTGGAATCGTCTGCCTAACTTTCTGCAACGATGCCCATCTAATATTTTCGCTCAAAAAGTTAGCAGAAGTTGAGCTGACGAAGCTGTCGGGCTCTATACAAATGTTGTAGCAGCAGTACCTCTCTTAACGATCATGTAGATGGGCATCCTTAGTCTCTTGTAAAGTTATTTGGCGAAGTATTGATGCAACCACATTACGGCTGCTTTGATGGACGATAAGAAGCTGTTTTCTATCCTTCAATTATACTGCCTATCAGCGCTAGCAGCATTGACCGATTACGGTCTCAAATCTTGCCAGGTACCATATCCTCTAAAAAGGTCCCGACCAGTTTGACTGAGAGAATGTCAACCAAAGGCTTTTGATGTGCCACCACTTCTACGATTCCCGCCTGCACCGTAACAATACTCTGTCAATTTTGTCGTGCAACTGACGTAATAAACACCCTCCTTCGCCGTTGTCAAAAGTCCAATCTTAGCAGCAGAAACAAGTTCGTGCACATCCACGAGCAGCTCTTCACATTCACGAGCAGCTCTTCATATCAAATTTCCGACTCAACAAGACGGATATTCTGGCCTTCCTCACAGTCTTGAAGATGCTCACCAACATGTCTCCCCGTTATTTAAACTACATCAGTCCTCAATCTTTTCAGCAGCGTCCGTTTTGTCCGGAACGGAAAATCTCGTCGTGATGTACGCCACCTGTCCAGTCATTAATACCCAAGTCGGCATTCCTCCCGCTGCAACGCGTATCCCCACGGTAAATTGCACACAACAAATTCCATTTCTCAACCTTGTGGCAGTAGCACTTCAGCTTACCACAATGCTAAGCCGCGTGCTCAATCGTGATCTGCGCCGGATGCAACATCACCTGCCTTGGGAACACCCCTTACCCGACAACGAGTATCATATCAGAAGCATAAATTTTCTGGTCAGCAACTACTACAAATACCATTACTCAATGATATTGTCGTAGATGGTTGTAACG